TGCCAAAAACGCGAGGGTCCTGCAACAATTGCAAAACGTTGTTGCAAAACTCCGAATGCACGTTCAACATCTTTTCGGCATGATTCTTGTTTCATCGCAAATATTTCTTCTTTGTCGAACGTGGCTCACGAATAGTTTGCACAAGAGTTGACCATTTTGGATATATGCCGTCAGCTAAATAATAACCCGTATTATTGTGTCCACTAAAATCTCTACTAAATCCACTCAACGGCCGAGATCAAAATAACATCTATCATCTTTTCATCTACTAAATTATTGTGTCCACTAAAATCTCTATATATTGAGGTGCCAACATAACCCTCTATAATCACAATTAACTTCTATTTTTCTTCCGATAATTTACTTTTTCTCTAATCAGTTGAAAATATGTCTATTCGATCTGCAGGATACACTGTAAACGAAGATATTCTATTATGTAGAATGCATTTAGATGTTTCTCAAAATCCGATAACGAGCGTCAATCAATCCAAAGATCTATTTTTGGGTCGAGTCATGGATGCATACAACAATACAAAGGAAGATATTTGGGAGATTTGCACCAAGAAATCGTTGCAACACCGATATGGAATAATTGAGATGGCAGTAAGAAAATTAAACGGATGTGTACGTCAAATAGAAAATATGCGTCCTAGTGGTGCTTCTGAGCAAGATATTGTGAGTATTTAATTTGTAGTTTTATTTTATTTGTATATATATATTTACTTGCTATTTTTTTAAATTATTTTTTAATATTGCAGCTTACACAGGCAAAAGCTTTACTTATGCCAAGATCCGAACTTCAAAAAGGGTTTTAAATTTGATCATGTGTGGGCTATAATGAAGGATTTTGAGAAGTTTAACGATGGCGATTTTGGAAGGAAAAAACCAAGAAAGCAAGCAAATTCTAATATATCATCGGAGCCTGAGAATCCTACCCCTGATTCACCCTATATGTCATCTCCTAACTTATCATCATTCTCACTAAATTTAAATGAGGATGTTGCAGGTGATTCCACATCATCACAACGGCCTAGTGGAGTGAAGAAATCAAAAATGAAGAGAAAAATTGACGAAGAATATATGAAGACAATCCAATCAGATAATAATCGGATGGTTGAGGCGATGAATAATGCAACCCAGGCAAAAATGGAAGTCTTGACTGTTCTAAAGGAAAAAGTAAGAGTAAAAGAAATGAAAGAAGAAAATAAAATTTTAATGATGAATGTGGATTCTATTGTCGATCCGGCTCGTCGTGAATTTATGCGACAAGAACAACAACGAATAATGTATAAAAGAAGTCAAGAATATTCACAGTCGCAACCACAACAATCCTCAGCCCCATTCAGTAATGATTTTGGTGTATCTGGAAACGACATAGGTCCCTACTAAGTTATTATGCTATTTACCGTAGTTTCTATGTTATGTATTTTTATTTAATGTATTTTCAATTGTCATGTATTTCCAATTTTAATGTATTTTCATTTAATGTATTTTAATTTTCACTTTGCAATTTTAGCAACATATAATATTTTATATTCGTACCTTTCAATATTAACAACATCTAATATTTTATATTTGCACCATTTATTTTTTTGAGATAATTATATATTTTTTGTACAATTAACTTATAATTTTACATAAAAATAATAAATGCACGAAAATTAGTTTATCAAAATTATACACCAAAGTTAAGATATAATATTAATATTATAAAGATATTACATAAATATAATTAGTATATATAAAGAGTTAAACTAAAAGATTAAATAATTAAAATAATAATAAAATATGGGTGAATAGTAACGGGGGAGATGAATAGTGTACCCCCATATTTGAGGGAACACTATTCATCCCCCATTTTGGGGACAAATATGGGGAAGGGTTGGAGCAAAATTCCCCCATTATTTTCCCCCATTATGGGGGATGGGGGCAAGATTGGAGTTGCTCTAAGCCTTCTTCCCAAAATTCCAAAAATCGAACCCGGGCCCGCTTGGTCAAAACACGAGGTTCGGACCAAATTCATATCACCCATTCCCCCACGAGCCCGGATATACAATTTGTTTTCAAATTCGACCCCAAAATGAGGTCTAAATCAAAGAAAATTGAAAAGCCCTAACTCTACCCATTTTCCCCAATTTCAACCCTAGATTACATGATTTGAGCTTAGGAATTTGATAAATGATGATGGAAAATGAAGGAGACAAGTTAAACAATACTTACCCAAGAAGCTTTGATGAAGAAATGCCCTAACAATCGCCTAGAAGCTTTGGAAAAGAAAGGGTTCGTGTATTTTTTTGAATAAAACCCGACACTTTTCTGTTTTTATGACTTAAAAATCGCTGGGTGAAATTACCCTACGCGTTCGCGACAGTAGGGTCGCGTTCGCGAAGGGCAGAAATTGACAACCATCGCGTTCGCGAGTGGAGGAGCGCGAACACGAAGAGGAAAAATTCTGGGGTCCAAAGTTTGGCCTACGCGAACGCGCTGAAGGGGGACCGTAGACTTACGCGAACGCGAGTACAGTTACGCGAACGCGAAGGAGGAGAATTTAAGGCATCGCGAACGCGGGAGAGAGGGCGCGAACGCGAAGAAGGAAATGCCTGGGCACCTATTGCAGAATTTCTGCAACTTTTTCTAAGTTCTAAAACTTCCCGCAACACCTCCGAAACACTCCCGAGCTCGGGGCTCTTAACCAAACACACACACTAACTCGATAACATCCTACGAACTTCAGCGTGCGATCAAATCGCCAAAATAACATCAAAAACGAGGAATCAAACCTCAAAATTATCACTTTTTCATCAAACTTCATAAACTTTTATTTTTAGATATTTAGGTCCGAAACACGTCAAATGACGTCCGATTTCGACCAAATTTCACAAAAAGTGCTTAAACCACATATAAGACCTGTACAGGGCGCCGGAACCAAAATACGGGCCCGATACCAACACGTTCTAACCAATTTCCTTTTCAAATTTCCATATTAATTTCTGAAAAACAATTTCACAGAAAAATTCTTTTCTCGGGCTCTCGACCTCGGAATTCGACTCCGGGTCCGTTTACCCAAAATGTTGACCAAAGTCAACTTTATTCATATTAATATCAAAATTCATCAATTTTTACACAGAATTTATATTTAAGCTTTCCGGCTACGCGCCCCGACTGCGCACGCAAATCGAGGCAATCCTAAATGAGGTTTCAAGGCCTCGGAGACATAGAATGAGTGAGAAAACAGGTGATGACCCTTTAGGTCGTCACAGTCTCTTTATGTAAATTATATTTTTTTATTTATTATTAATCATAAAATAGCGACCAACTTTGGTCTGTAAAGAAAAATATTATATTTTAAAATCTGGAAAATAGAGACCAAAGTTGGTCGCTATACTATAAATATTTTTAATTTTTTTTAAATAATCGACCAAAGCTGGTCGCTAACTTCATGAATTAATTTTTTTTTAGTATTAAGCGACCAACTTTGGTCGCTATATTTCCAGAAATTTTTAATTTTCTAGGAAATAGCGACCAAAGTTGGTCGCTTTTTGTGAAATCTGGGTTATATAGCGACCAACCTTGGTCGCTATTTCCCAGAAAATTATTTTTTTTAATAGAGAAGCGACCAAATAGCGACCAAAGTTGGTAACTTTTTTTGGTATATTGCTGGCAGGAACGGCCTGTTTTGGCAGCTACACCACCTGCCAGCATACCAAAATTCCTAAATAGGCATTTTATGCCAACAACAACAACAACAAGCAACAACAACAACTAAAAAGCAACAACAACCATAATAACAACAACACAATAACAACATTATAACGAACAAAGTATAAAGTTAAATAGAACTTTATACTTTAAGCTAACCAGACTAATAAGTTAACTTTTATTACAAAACCATTCGAAAACCGATTGTACTTGTCTAGTATAATGTCACGACCCCCAATCCCGGTCGTGATGGCGCCCAACATTGATGCTAGGCAAGACCGACCAATTAAATACTCTCAACCCAAATACGTAATCCGTTAACAAATAATACGATTAAAATAGCAAATGTCAAGGTTCCAATCCGAATCTAGATAAAATAGTACGAAAAAAATAATAACGAATATTCCAAACATTCCCCAATAGATCTGGAGTCACGAGTCTAGAGCCTCTAGATATAATAGAGTAATATATATCCATAGTGATAAAGAAGTCTAGAATATGAAAGAAATAAATGAAATAAAGGGGAGGAGTCGGGTCCTGCGGACGTCAGGCAGCTACCTCGACAACTCCTGAAGATAAAATCCAAGAAGACAGCAAACCGCTCCACTAAGTCTCCAGAGCACCTGAATCTGCACACATGGTGCAGGGAGTAAAGTGAGTACTTCCAACTCAGTGAGTAATAAATATATATAATGGCTGAAAGTAAGAAATTCCGAAATATTACAATATAAAGCTATGATCAGCGATTCAGCACATAAAACGGTGAAACAACAACAATACCAGGACAAATAAGACAAATAGGTATAAATGCATGAATGCAATGCAATGCACATGACCGCTGCGGCGCGCAGCCCGATCCATTTGGGTACTCGCGCTCACTGTGGGGGTTCAGACTCCGGAGGGGCTCCTACAGCCCAAGCGCAGCATTCGCTATGGCGTGCAACCCGATCCACACTCGGTCCAGATATATATATGCATGCAAGCCACTCGGGCACAGTCAAATTGTTCATTTTAGTTTCAATTACTAGGAATTATAGAGCTAAGTGTTTAAACCTTTATTTATTTACTAAACATTTCGAGGCAGTGTCTAACTCAGGACTGATATCATGAAATATGCTAAGCATCATGAAAGTAGTGATAAGGATCCCTGAAGGATGCAAATGATAGGCACAAAGCCCCGAACATATTCATAAAATCCAAGTAGGATGATTACCAAACAATTTCTAGTCAAGAACACAGTACGAACATCAATCGGAACGGACTAGGTCACAATCCCCAGTCACAATCAACCCCGCACTCGTCATAGAGTACGTGTCTCGCCTCAATATAGCGTCACAATGTGATATACCGGGGTTTCAAACCCTCAGGTCATCATCTACATCTATTACTCACCTCAAGCCGGCCACAGGTCTAGCTCGCTATGCCTTTGCCTTTCGAATCAACCTCTTCGCATGCCGAATCTGATTAAAAACACAACGAATACATTACAATAGGCTAAAGAAACATAACCCAATCGAAAAGACTCGAAAAACACCAAAATTCACTAAGTTGGCAAAAACCCCGAGACCCCCGGGCCCACTTACTCGAAAAATTTACAAAATTTACATCACTGGATTCCTCGTCTCGCCACGAGTCTACACATACCAATTTTACCAAAATCGGAGTTCAAATGCCCTTTCAAAATCCGTTTTTACATCACAACTTTTCAAGCCCTAGCTTGACCCGTTTTTGATGAATTTCCCACAATTTACATGTAATTTCTACCATTAGCTCGAATAATTAGGCCAAGAGACTTACCTCCAATTGATTCTCAGTCAAAACCCTCGAAAATTCTCGCCCAAAGCTCTGCAAGTTGCTTAAAAATGGTAGAAGCCAACTCTTGTTCGCGGATGAAATTTAATATTTTAAACCCTTCTGTAACAGTTGTTTTTCGCTTCTGCGGTCCCGCTTCCGCTTATGCGGGACCGCTTCTGCGGTCAGAAGTCTGCTTAAGCGGTTTTCATTAAAACCGCCCTTTTCGCTTATGCGACTCCAGATGCGCTTCTGCGGTTCTCTCAACAACCGCTTCTGCGGTAAAATATCCGCTTACGCGGACCCGCTGAAGCGACCATCCATCCGCTTTTGCAGAAATTCCCTAACCCAGGCCTGACCGCTTCTGCGGTCGCTCACCCGCTTCTGCGGAACCGCTTCTGCGGTCCATTTCCGCAGAAGCGGAAATATCAGATGACAGCAGCAACAGACCTGCAACACACCTCAAAACTCTCGTTCAACCACCCGAATTCACCCCGAGGCCCCCGGAACCTCAACCAAAAACACCAATACTTGTTCTCATCCTCAAAACACATCAAACAACGCTAAAACCATCAAATCACATCGAATTCAAGCCTAAGTTTCTTAAAAACTTCCGAATTACGCATTCGATCAAAAACCCGACCAAAACACCTCCGAATGACCTAAAATTTTGCACACATATCCAAAATCACCTAACAGAGCTACTGCAACTCTCGGAATTCCATTCCGACCCTCGGATCAAAATCTCACCTATCCACCGGAATTCGCCAAAATGCCAACTTTGCCAATTCAAGCCTAATTCTACTCCGGACCTCCGAAATCACTTCCGATCGCACTCCTAAGTTACAAATCACCTCCCGAAGCTAACCGAATCACCGGAATTCACATCCGAGCCTTCT